CCTTCATGTTAGTCTTATGATATATTTATGTTATTCCTATACTATTTTTATGTTATTTTTAAACTATCTTTAAATTATTCTGACCCACAGTGTCACAATCTGCGGACTTACAACGCTAGGAATCGGGTTTCGATACCCGTGGTGGGAAGAGAGCAGATAGCCCTTTTTTTGTTTATTATTAAGTACAAAGCTACACAAAGGGCCATCTGTGGTCTCCCCAACCACGGGTATCGAAACCTGGTTTCTAGCAGTATAAGTCCGCAGACATACTGCTGTGCCACTGGGGGCGATAGCCCATTGTATAGCTTTGTGCTTAACTACACACAAACGAAGAAGTTATTACTATTATAGTATCTCTATGTTATTATTATAGTATATTTATATTTTTCTAAGTTAAATCCAAATTACTGTTACGGATTTTGAGCTTTCAACTGCTTTCTAAGTACTGCTACACTTATCACATTAAAACTTTGAATCATCTGTTTCATCTCGATACGTATAAAGCATATGCAACTGTTTCAAAATGGCCATTTTTACTAAAATAAATTAATTTGAAATTTTCATAATTAGGGTAGGCTGTAAGTTATAGACCTTATAACGTTAAAATTCGGTGATCGATAATAAAAATTGTTCAAGTAATTATAGGCCCATTAGTATTACATCAGTTGTGGGAAAAGTTTTGGAAAGGACATCCTTGATGGGCTAATAAGCTCCTTTTGTCTCTTTAAAATTTTATGAATTTAGGAATTTAAATTGTGGATTGTTCGGTAAGTGTGAGTTTCATCTTCTATAATGAAGGTCTCATCATAAAACGTAATAAAGTTAGTTTTGGCCATTTTAAGGCGCATAACTAAGCATGAACAGCACCACTATGAATACATTTGTTATAATACCAAAACAAGGTTACATCAGGTAACAAAAGATATTATATGAAAATCTTAGAACTGTGGTTTAGAGTTATATAGACACTCGTCATAGACCCAGCTAAATTCAATGACGAGGAACCCACTTTGAGACTAATAATGGTTGGAGACAGCTTGAATAGGTAATGAAGTAAAACTTTAATATAAGTTTAACATAACAGCAAATGTACAACGTTTCGACAGGGTTTTATCCTGATTGTACCTGATGATGACAAAACCTTGTTTTTCTTCATTACCCATTCAAGCCGTCTCCAACCATTATTAGGCCCAGATAAAGTTAAACAGCTCGAAACTGGATTTCTCGAAATGTGTGTTGAAAGTATTGTTATTCAGTGTAAGCTATGTGTATTTTATCATGGTAATTAAGAAATAATAACAACAGAAAAGATGCTGGACGGTTACACAAATGCTGTGCTAGTGTTAGCTGAACAGTATCAAACATTATATTGAAATGTGAAACCATAAAAAATGAAAGGCAGTGAAATTATTATAATATCTAACTCAAGTGGCTCGAAGCCTTCTGGTTCTGGATAGTGTCAATTCTGTAGTAATATGTGGTACTCTTTTTACTAATGCTGATACTTTTAATATTGTGTTGGTATATTTATATGAAACTCAATGAAATATGTGTGATCTCACGCTTGTAAATAAACCTGATTCTTTCACGTAGCAAAAATAAAAACACACACACCAAAAAAAACTCGTGTATAACACCGTTATGATAAAACGTGATCTCTCTATTTCAAATCACAATTTAGACGACATTCGTTTTTTAATTGAATTTACCAAAGAAGTTTCTGCTTTATGGGTGTTTCTAATATTATAATTATATGCAAGACCTTGGCGTTTCCATCAAATAATTCCCCAAAGATTTAAAATATTTTTGCCACTGTCATCATTGTTGGTCACTGTAAATTGTTCTAAACCTTCGCATTGAGGAAAGTCTTTCAGAGCTGACGTTCACACACCAGGTTTTATATCTCTCTGCCTTATATCCAATAAGAACAGCGCCTCTATTTATTACAACGTTGGGGAAGCGATGTTGAGTCGTGGTGGGAGAGAGTGTAATGTTAGGCGTTATCGGGCGATCGGATTTTGGGGAAAGAAAGAGATTTTTTGACGTTATTTTTACATGTTTAATATACTTTCAATAAGTACTCGCTTAATATTATCTGGCAGATTTTGTAGTGGACTTCAGTAATTCTCTTACTGGTGGGTTTTCAAAAGAAAATTCGTCAAAATCCAAACACTTAGCCAGGACGCCATATTTGAGGGCTTAACGTAACGCTACTTTCGAGTGAAGCAGTTGAACGTCATTATTACAAGCTACGGTGGCGCCTATATGCAAGTAAATAGTAGCACGTGGATTTTCCGTGTCACATTCAAGTTTTAACGGTGCAAAAATACGGTACTGGAAACTCATTGGTTTGTTGAAAAGAAAACGAACTTATTATTAGTAAGCCCAGGATTTTTTATGTACTGTTTTATAAATAACTTAAATGTGACGAAAGATTAGGTTTTCTTGTACATTTTATATAGTTGCAATTAGATTTCCAGTAATTTATTGTGACAAACTTTATGTTTTAGTAGCAGACTAGCTTTGCAAGGGTATGAAAGCATTTATAAACTGTCTTGTGAAATAGAAGTCGTACTCATAGACAAAAGAAAAAAAAATTGCGATCTTCACTCCAGTCCTCTCTGTTGCTTTTATATGTAGTATTTGTTAAAACGTTATTGAAATATATAACGTGTATAGTGGATGCTATTTTTTCTACCTAGCTTACCAATTTCATGGTTTTGTACTGCTAGAAAAGTTTCAATTCAACACACTGTATTGTCTTCTGATATTGGTGCCACAAATTTCAGAAAGAAGACTGAACTGGTTATAATGTGTACATCCAAACCCTCGTATTTTTATAGGATGATTTTAATAGATTCAGACTGATGTCTGAAAGTTTTCTTGATGTGCTTGATAAAGTATACTTATAACTTGAGTTTTGAAATATTTTATTAATTTGTTTTAATTGATCAAAAGTAAAGACTAAAATGGCTTCAGGGACATTTGTTCAGTCACTGGCAGTAGATTTGGTATGTGATGGTGAAGATGCATGTAGTAAGCGTTCTGAAAATTATCAGGGAGCAATATCGGAACAGAAACTGGATGACTGTAGTACAGCATTTAATGGAAGCTCTCTTTCTAAAAGAAGCATAATGCAACGACAAAATTCAACATACAGAAGAAAAGAAAGTGGAATACCGAACCAGCAATTTCAAAAAGGACATTGTATTAAAAGACGACATACATTTAGTGGACCTGACTTAAGGTATCTCCCAAAGAAGCGTCGTAAAAATGAACTGTTTGCTCGTCCTAGAAAATTCCTTCTTGGTGGTAGCATTACTGATCCTTTGAACTTGCAAAGTTTGGAAGATGAAGAAGTGAACAGGCGTGTTAATGAAAAAACACCCTATTCATCTCCTGTTCCCACTCCTAAGCATCACACCCAGGTTGAGGTGCTTATCCCACCAAATATAAATGATCCATTGAACTTGAACTCTGGAGAAGAAATTGACTTTGGTTTGCTGTCTCCAAATTCAAAGCGCCGTCACCGTCATCGTCAGAAACGAAAGCGCTCTGAGAGTCAAGAGGCTAAAGCTGAAATAAAAACTGAGAATGAAAGTGAGGAAGGACTGTTGTGTAAACAAAACAAACCAGAAGAAATTCAAAAATGTGATGAGACTAATGAGAAGGTGGAAACAGAAGTTGAGGTTGGACCAGACATAATTGTGTCTCCTGCAGTGCCACAAGGTTCAGCAAACAAAGTTTTCCGGAAGAATGTTCCAAAAAGTTCCTGTGATGACTGTCAAAAAGAAGAAAGAGAAGATACCCAGCAGAAACGTGGTCGTTCCAGGCGAAAATCAAGAAATGCAGAACCACCAAATTTCAAACAGAAAAATGCCCAGTTTCAGTTTGGTAATTACAACAGGTACTATGGCTACAGAAATCAGCAGGCCGAAGATCAACGGCTTAAATGCATGAGAAGGGAGTGGTTTGAGAACAAGGACGTATTGGACATTGGCTGCAATGTTGGCCATTTGACCCTAAGCTTAGCCAAGGATTATAACCCAAGAAAAATTATTGGACTTGATATTGATGAACAGTTGATTAGGGTTGCACGGCGAAACGTTCGTCATTACATAACAGCAGAACTATCAAAAGGGGCAGAATTTCCGATATCGATGCTGTTATGTCACGGCCCAATTGCAGCAGCAGCTTTGCCAGGAAGGCAGGACAAACCCTCGCATTTTCCAAATAATGTGTTCTTTATTCAGGTAAGTCAAATGTATTTGATGAAGGTTTTGGAAGGTGTCTATGTATAGTAGCTTGTAGTGATGATCTTGTCTTATGAAAACCAAAGGAAACATTGATTGGAAAATTTAACCAAAAGGAGGTTTATAATAAACGTTTTTTAGAAATGCATCTCTTATTTTCATGGCATACTATGAATGTTAGTAACACTAAATTGATCTGAACTTAGTGAGAACGTAAAACGAACAAGTTCACGGAAGCCTAATCAGCACATAAAAGGTCACCACTTTTGCTTGTGGCTAGATCCATCAGAATTTTTTTTAAGATAGAAAATTTACCATTTTTATTAGGTTATATAGTTTTGCCTCCATTTAAGTAAGTACAAAGTTTATTAATATTTTCTGGTGTTTACTGGGAGTACTACATCTAGGTTTATTTTCTATACTATACTTTGTACTATTGATTACAATAATATTAACTCTTTGTCAAGTTGGACAGACATCATAATGTGGCTTTAGACTTAAGAAAGTGTCACAGTTGTAAGAATTGGAATACTCCAGTGTAGGAAGACCAAACTATATAATTGTGTTCAAGTTTAGTTTTAGTTGGACTCTGTAGATTTAGGAATGTGTTTGAATACTAAAGATTTTGAGCTTGATAACCAGTACATTCTGGTGGAGATTACGGTAACTAACGTAGTCTCCAATCTCTATGTATCTTGGTAGATTATCACCATAGAAACCTGCCACACATATAAAGTTCAGGTCATTTTGACGGCCGTTCGTTAAACAGATGCTCCTTATTTTTGTACTAGTCCCTAATCTCTTTTACTTACCACAACCTGTATTAATTTTGGTGCCAGTTTTGGGAATAAAGCACAAATGTGATGAAAGTACAGTGTAACCTTGTCAGTCTGAATATCGACTGGCAGGATGATTTTTCTTATGGACAGATTTTCACAACAGGCAAGTTTTGTCAATAATTTGTATATTCATGTTCCGAATCTGAACAGCTATTTCTTATAACAAATATCAAGATAGTGATTACTGTAATTGCAGAGTTTACCAGTTTATGACAGTTTTTCTGAGAACAGTCTTCACAGTAAAAATGTAAGTATAAATTATTACGAATATCAAGAGGTAGTTGGAGTGACTTATGATAGTCACATCAAGTCACAGTGCCCCCAAACAAAGATGTGTAGAAATATGAACATCATTAAAACACGATGTTTGTTTATACAAGAACGCAGTACTCCATATTTTGTATTCTATAATGAAGTCTTTTGTTTTTACAGATTGATAATTTATGTGAACATAATTACTTTTATCATGAAATTTCTATAATTATTGACAACATATGAAATGATGAATAAACTGATACGTTTTTTTTTCTTGTTCACCACTTGTATGCCCACTTTACTGGTTTGACCTTTACATTTATTGATCAGTAATGTAAGTACAATTAGAGTATTAATAGTGTTCATATTCATTACAGCTTAAAATATTGTTAACAGCGACGGTACCCGACAGATGAAATGGTGCATTCTGGTTTTTATGAGTAAGAACATAAGAAATGTACATTTAATTAGCTATACTCCTTATCGTGTTCATCTTTCGTTTTGTCATATGTAAATAACTATCTCTGGTTAGAAGTTAACATTAATTGTATTCAAAGTGATGTAATTGGCTATCCAGATGCCTCACTAAACCCGAAGAACATATAGAAGCACATGTGGTAAAATTTAAGCCAAATGAAGTGGTATTTATTATTATACACCAGGATGAAAAATATTTTACAGACTGTCACCTTGTTAAAAGAAAGTTCATTTATATACACACACACACCGAAAATTGATATTGTTTAAAAGTATCCGATATGTCTGATGCAGTAGCCACTGTATAAGTGTGATTGGCTTTGTGTCAATTCTAGCTGGTGTTTTAACGGTAAGTTTATGGTCTGATTATTATGCTATTCAGTTGAATAATAGAGTATTCTTAAGCATAAATTGGATTATTATTTCAAAATCATTATGTATTGACTATTGAAATACCAAATGGGGTATGAAAGATTGTTGTATGAAGACATGTGGAGTTTTGTAGGTGAGTAATCGTTTGTTGTAAGTGGTCTTTGTCCAGGTTTTCATTTTGGAAACTTTATTGGCTTAAAAAAAAATGTATAATGAGCTGGAACAGTGCTTCTCAAAGTGTGTTCCATGAGGGTCCTTCAGGTGGTCCACGGACTAGTCCAAAATGCAAGTCACATCAAAAGCAGCACCATTCTTCCCATCAATTCTCTTGAGTTTTTTTTTGCAATTGCAAGTTGAAGCAGGTGGAGTAGTACTGGTAGGTGGTCTGCAGGGTCCTTTGCCCAGCCGATGTGGTCCTTGGAAGAAAAAGTTTGAAAACCACTGAGCTAGAAGCATGAGGTCAGTCTTTCTCAACTTTATGTTTGTCCTCATTTCAAAATGGAGGTTTCCAAACACTTAGGTCAACTAAATTGTGTTTTCTGATCTTTTTTTTTTTGTAATTTGAAGAGGAGAAAATAGAAGCTTGTGATGTCTTTTTTTCATTCCAGTAAAGATTATCCATTCTCAGTTGATGTAAATTACTTAAGACTTCAGCCAGATTCTGTTATTTCTTCTTTGTAGCCTTAAAAAGGATGGAAAGCTAGAAACCTGTGATTAGTTTCTCTTATCTCAATAGAGATTTTCCATCTTCAGTTCAAAATGTAGGTTGCTCAAGGCCTTAGCTTACCAGCTTCTGTTCCATTTGTGGCCACAGAGGATAAGAAATTGGAAGCTTGTAGTCAGTGTTTGTTTCACTGTCCATTTTCAATTCAAGTGTAAGCTGCCTTTGCCTTTAGTCTGTTAGTTTCTGTTCTCTGACTTTTTTGGCATTTGAGGATACACAATTGTAAGCTTGTGATCAGTCTATTTCATTTTTGATGAAGGTTATTCCATCTTCCGTTCAAGATGTAGGATGCTCAAGGTCTTTAATATTTAACTACCTCCTGTTCCATTGTCCGTGGTCATAAAGAGTAGAAAACTAAAAGCTTGTTATCACTCTTTCTCATCTCAATAGAGATTGTCCATCCTTGTATGGTGCCCAGAACCTTCGTCTTCTGGTGCTGGTAAACCAGAAATATTATCACCAAGTGTTTACTTAATACATTATCTTAGGTGCCAGCAGAAGCAGTAAATGCTCTGTCCCATAATTTGTTTGATATTTTGAAACTTGCAGATTTTTAAAAGTTGTGAATCAGTTGTTTAAGTTGACATTATAATGGTAGGGTGAGCAGTGTAAATGACATGTGATGATGTTAAATTTTTTTAAAGATTTTTAAGTGCATGCATCCAAAGAAAACTCACAATTAGACAAATTGATCAGTATATTTCTACTTATTTTTTCAGGGTAACTATGTGTTGGAAAGTGATGAAGTGCTTGAGGCACAACAACCAGAATTTGATTGTATTCTCTGCTTGAGTCTCACAAAATGGATTCATCTAAATTGGGGGGATGAAGGGTTGAAGAGAGTCTTTCGGAGGATGTATGCCCAGCTTCGTCCTGGAGGAAGAGTGATCCTGGAAGCACAAGCTTGGAAGTCTTATGCCAGGAAGAAGAAACTGACAGTAAGTTTTTGTCACAAAGTTGCTATTTAGGATATACTGTTACATTTAGATGTTTCTGTAGGAAGAAGAAACTGACAGTAAGTTTTTGTCACAAAGTTACTATTTAGGATATACTGTTACATTTAGATGTTTCTGTAGGAAAAAGAACTGACAGTAAGTTTTTGCACAAAGTTACTATTTAGGATATACTGTTACATTTAGATGTTTCTGTAGGAAGAAGAAACTGACAGTAAGTTTTTGTCACAAAGTTACTATTTAGGATATACTGTTACATTTAGATGTTTCTGTAGGAAGAAGAAACTGACAGTAAGTTTTTGTCACAAAGTTACTATTTAGGATAT